GTTGTGCACGGCTCTACCACAGTGACGGAGATCACAGCTGTGGCAATTCCAGCCAACTCTGGAGCACCGCGCTATCGTGCCGTCAATGTGGATGCTATCACCATCGACAGTAACCTCGGCTCGACATGCAACAGTGGCGTGCTGGTCGCACCGGATGGCACAGTCCAAGCCTTGTGGCTGTCCTACCTTGGTGAGAGGTCAGCCTGTAGCCAGCGTGATGAAGAGTATTATCTGGGTCTAGGCACGCCTACTCTGCTGCCAGTTATTTCTGCTATTCAGAAGGGCGAGACGCCAGCTCTGAGGATCTTGTCCGTTGAGTTGAGAGCCATTCAGATGTCTCAGGCACGCGTGATGGGTGTCTCCGATGAGTGGATCAAGAATGTTACTCAAGCAAACCGCTCTCACCACCAACTGTTCATGGTTAGCAAACGAACTTTTGAGCGCGTCGAACACCCGGTTTCACTGCTGGAAGGTGATATTGTGTTGACGCTGAATGGCAAGACGTGTACTACTATCTCGGACTTTGATGTGATGTACTCGCACGAAGTTTTGGACGCAGTCATCGTCAGAGAGTGCAAGGAGATGAAGCTACAGCTGCCCACAGTATGCATGGATGATATCGAGACGGATCATGCGGTATCTTTCTGTGGTGCCATTCTTCACAGACCTCACCAAGCCGTGCGTCAGCAAATCAGTCGTCTTCACAGCGAGGTTTACGTTTCAAGCCGTATTCGCGGATCGCCTGCGTACCAGTACGGTGTTGCCCCGACGAACTTCATCACCCACGTGAATGGCGAACCTACCCCTGACCTCGACTCGTTCATTGCGGCCACCCGCAAGATCCCGGATAATGCCTGTATGTCTTAGCATATTCCCTCCCCTATGCTCCCCTTTTACATGCTCCATGAATATAAGCTAATATAGGATAACAGACTTCCGCCTCAAGGCAGTCACCTTTGACTCTGTTCCATGGGTCATTACCATGAAGAAGAATGATCATTACTTCCCAACAATGGAATGGATCAAGGATAGCAACGAGGCGTGCGGATGGAGGCGTGTGACATATGAGGGCAAGGAAGTATTCCAGGGAGAGGCAACTGACGGTGTGCCAGCCCCTGCGGAGGATACTGATATGGATTAGAGGATTTACCGTGAAAACTGTTGATTTTTGCTGTCGCCTGCTGGTCATATCTGCAATAATAGAAGCCAAACAACGGCAAAGGATGGCGGTTTCTATCTTGAAAGGAGTTCCTTTCACTGGGCGTTTTACTAGGGATCTGAGGGGTATTCTTTCTGGCTGGCCGGCTTTTTGGTTTTTTATCGACACGATACTCCAGGGATACAAGATCCCTTGTCATCGTCGTCGGTTGTCAACAACACACTGCATCGATAGATCCCATTCCTCAAGTGCAGGATGGGCGCACATGTTCAAAAGAGATATATTTGCGACAAGTCTCCTTTGAGACGAGAATCATCATGCCGGCTTCTACTGCGTGTGCTTATAGCCGTTTGAACCCTCGCCTTACCATTGTGTAAACAGGCTTGTAAAGGCTACTAGCACTGGATGCACTCCGATCTAATATCTGAATAATAAATAAACATGAGAAACAAATGAATAATCAATACAATACACGGCGTGAGTTCATTGTCTAGGTAGGTAGGTGTAACATAGAATCATTAGCCCCTACAGCTTACATGTTTGAGGCTCCTTGATGTTATCACCCGCTTGCGTGGCCCAGATGTCAAATTGACATGTATCGAGCAGGTTAGTACCCACTTGCGCCGCGTCTAGACCCTGTTGGCAATGTACCCTGTACATACAACGATGATGCCCCTCGGTCGGCCACTGGCTCCACACTCTCTGGAGCTTGTGCCCCGCAATGAGCTCACACCTGCCACCAGGCAGGCAGCATCATGGGTTCCTATCCCGAAGTCTTTATACTGTCGCCTTGAGGAACAACTACCCGAATTCCCTTGTCTCCTTGATAACCGATACCCGACGTTGATATATCGAAGAAACTCCCTTTGTCTGACATCCGAACTCCCAAGTGTCCTTCTAGGCCTACTGAGCTGGCGCCAGCTCGTTGTCCATCATCATGGCCCCCGGCATGTCCATCGTGGTACGTTGTCCTGTCTGTGTTTGAGCCCGATATAGACGTCTACGAAGCAAGGTTGCGATCTGAATGAACTAACCGGGAATGTGGGATAGACCAAGTTGAAAGTCCAGCTGAAATTGGCAATCGCACGCCTGCGCATGGTCCAGCAGCGCGATGAGCAGCTAGGCAAGGCGCAACGACGGGCAATGGCCCAGCTCCTCGAAGTCGGAAAGGTCGACTCCGCCACCATCCGGGTCGAGGGCATCATCCGCGCCGACATCATATCCGAGCTGCACGAGCTGCTGGAGCTCTACTGCGAGCTCCTGCTGGCGAGGGCGGGCTTGCTGGAGGGCCCCGTGTGCGACCCGGGGCTGGAGGAGGCCGTCAAGAGCATCATATACGCGGCGCCCAAGACGGAGATCAAGGAGCTCGGGGTGGTGAGGAACCTGCTGGCGGAGAAGTACGGCAAGGAGTTTGCCCTGACGGCCGTGGACAACTTGGACGGGAAGGTGAGCGAGAGGGTGGTGAAGAAGCTCAGCGTGGAGCCGCCGAAGCCGGAGCTCGTCCAAGGGTATCTGGAGGAGATTGCCAAGGCGTATGGGGTGAACTGGCCGAGGCGCGCGGTGGCGGAGGAGCCCCCCGAGCTTCTTGACGACCTCGACGACGAGGACGACAGCCCGTCTGGCGGGCAGGCGCAGAAGGTGCTGGAGGAGCCCCTGGCAGCTGAGCAGAGCACGACGGGGGTTGGGGGTGACGCCAAGGTCCAGGGAACTCCCGTGAAGCGCGCGCCTGGGCCGCAGAGCCCGCTGACTGTGACGCCGCCGAGGATGACGACGGAGAATGTCCATCCCAAGGTGACGTTGGGTTCCGTGGAGCTGAAGCCGACCAAGCGGGCAGAGGAGCCGCGGAAAAAGAGTGAGCCAGATGGGTCGGTGCCTGATATTACTGATCTAGAGAGAAGATTCGCCGCCTTGAAAAAGAGGTAGCCAGCGAGGTTTTGAGAAGAATGACTTTATTTTTTTGATACCTTGAGCTGACAACATATCTGCTTCTGTGTCTTCATTGTCCTGAATTTGGGTGCCGAGGAGCTTTTACCTGCAACGGTCTGGCTAGAGGGGAAGTTGATTTCATGGGTCTCATTGCTATATTTTAGAGGAAGATGGTCCATTGCGAAGATCATAATGAACTACGTTATTATATCTCGACCTACTACGTTGCTTGTAAGTATATATGACGAAGTCGATGCTAAAGAGATTGCTCCAAGTTCTAGAGCCTCCTTTAAGTTGACTGGGGTTTCTAAGATATCTATAGCTGTAATCGCAAGCATGATCAGTACGAGTACATTAGTCGTGGTCATATGGCCATTAAATGGAATACTCAAGTACCCAGGTAATTTAGCTTTTGGCTCCGTGACGGACCTTAAATGCCCATCTTCTCCCCTGACTTCTTTTCTCCTCCCCCACCATACCTTACAACAACTGTTTCTATTATGCGTTAAGACGCACAATTTATGTAACAATGTTGACGAAAGATGGACAGTCAAGCAGTGGCAGTAATGATGTTGAAATCACAACTGCTAGACTTGAAGCATCACCGGCCCCCGAAAACGAGCTATCCCAAGTAGCCTCCAGTGGCAAAGTCGTCGTCCTCAATGGATTTCCAGGCTCCGGAAAGCTCACCATTCTCAAGGAGGCCAAAGCGCTACTGCCCGTCGACAGAACCTGCCTTAAAGATAACCACCTGCTCATCGACCCTGTAGTGGCAGTTCTTCCTGACCGAAGTGACGAACACCACGAACTACGTCGCATGGTCCGAGCACCCATCTTCAAGAAGCTAAGAGAACATGCACAAGAAGGCCACATCATCCTCATGACAGCATGCCTCGCTGAGGATAACGAGAGGGATAGAGCAGTTTTTGAAGAGCACTTGGATATTGTTCGTGGGACTGGCATACCCATCTTCTGGATTAATACACAATGCGACCAGAAGATCCTGGAGCAGCGCATTGAGAGCCCCGAGCGGCAGCATGGTGGCAAAACAAAATTGACCGACAGGAAAATCCTTCGGGACTTGTTGCAGAAACACTCTCTTATTGATCCAAGCAAAAGTGCTGACGGATCCACGATATTGGTTTCAAACACCTTAGATGTGAGCGGTCCAGTGGCACAATCTGTCAGCCGTCTGATGAGCATGATCAACTTTCCAAAATGTATTAGGTCGCTACTATATAAGTTGTGCATATCAGAATAGATCAAATTTCTTCAGATATCGACAACAAATGTGGCCATTCATAGTTGTGTTTTCCTCTGCCATTGCCTTCCAACCATGCTTCAAAGCCGTGTCTTTGGCACGCACACATTGCACCTACACCATGCAAAGACTGACAATCGAGAGGGCTTGTAAGAAATAGAATAAGAATTATAGGAAGTAGAGATTAGTATACAATGTAGACTTGAGTATAGGTAGATTATATAACCTGCTTACCGAAGTATCTACATATACCTACTTACTGTAAACAGACTGTCAGAAGAGAGCAAAAGTTAGGTGCTAATTCTCTGGCCTTTAGTTTGGAGGCACCTACCTTAGGAGGTAGGCACCCTGATGGCCATTAAATGGGCGATGGAAGGCGCAAGAACCTGAGGGAAAGAGGCAGCCGTGCGTGCGCCTTCCTCGCGAGCTAAATCAAAACAAACATTGTCAACAACTGTCAGGCAACACTCACCTTAGCAACGCACACTACAGGTGCCATAGCTCAGCTTTGGACCGTCGCCTTTGTTTATTACTCCTCACATTGTTTTTAATGTCGGGACAAGTTTTGCTCCTTCATCCCACTTCCTTTCGTCGCCAACATCCCTCCCCAGAGCTCAACCTAACCTCTCGCCACCTACTTTGAACGCATTCGCCATGGATTCCCTGGGCGATATTATCCGCAATGCCAATGAGGTATTGGGATTCAATCTGTCAACCCTGAAAGAATTGGGGAAAATGAAGCAAGAGACATTGGAGAAGAAGTTGCTCAATTTGCCCCCCGGGATTCTTAACATCAGAAGCGTCGCCTCCATCTATATGGCATGGCTGGCTGAACAGATTGCAAATGCGACTTCCTGGGATGATCCAAGTCCCGTCTGGAAAATTTGCGGTTATCTCCAGAACAAATACTGCAGTGGTGTCCTCGCACTGCAGGTTTGGAATGAAATGCTCCTAGAAGCTCGCATGGAGCATAACATGGAGGACCCATGGACCACCAGAATCCACCTACGAGGTCCTCTCGTTGAGAAGATAATCATCCAGCTTCTTGTCCCGGATTTTAGTCAACGATATCCCGTCTTCAATAAAGGGAAAGCTATAAAAGGAAACGCCAATAAAGGTATGTCGGCGAAACAGACAAACCTCAGTGATCTCAATCCTCCCCATTTTCATCTTCAATCACCCTTTTCTCATCCAATTCTCACCTTCACCTCACCCCACCACCCTGCTGTGTTTCCTCCGTCAGCCTGCCCTCCTTGTCTTCCTATCCACCGGCCATTAGATAGCTTTGCTAGCCGTATTATATGTGTATGTGTCTATCCATACCACCCATCACCTTGCCATCTTTTCTCCATCAGCCAGCTTTTCTAGCTGTGTCATAAAGTGTGTAAACGTATATTCGTACACCCAACATCCTGCTGTGTTTCTTCCATCAGCCTGCCCTCCTTGCCCTCCTACCTTCCGGCCAGGAGACAGCTTTGCTAGCTGTGTGAAATGAGTGTACGTACATCCATACACCTACCCCGTGCCGTCATCCGCTCAGAAGCCCACGTCTACCTGATGTGTTGTTTTGCATGAGTTTACGTCCACCTTTACACCCACAACACACTGCCACCCGCTCAGAAGCCCACATCTACGCGGTGTGCCGTTTCGAAATTTCTCACGCTTCTGGTACAGCGGCCCTGGCTCTACACCATCCGCTACTATTTGACGAATCGAAGGGTCTCTCAGACCGACAACAACTTCCGTGAGGCCTGAACGGCGAAGCTAAGAATAACATAGTACCGCTAGGACGCAGCAGGTTCAAGGTGCCTCCCCAGGATCCCTTTCGATCAACAGTGAAGATGGAGGAGACAACAGGACCAAAAGTGAATGCGGAGGAGAGACCCCAACAACCTGGCTATCTTTGCCTCACGTGCAGTTGCGTTCATCATCATAGCTATATCTGCCCGAATAGCAACACCAAGGCCTCGCAAGAGCTGCCTATAAAGGAAGAGCAGCCCGAGAATATCCTTGGCGCCGGAAACGCCTCTGCTGGACAGCGATCGGCTTTGACAAGACAGGTGTCTCCCGAGACACCCTACCACACCTTTCGCTACGATAACAGCGAGGATTCCGAGAAGGAAGATGCCCATGCTGGACAGCCATCGGCTTTGGAGGGACGCGCCTCTCTTGATTCTCAGGGTCGTGACATTCTTCCCACTACTACTGCGTACGATACCTTCCGTGACGGCGTCTACCCGTACGATTACTCTCGACCCGTGGAATCGAACAGCGGCGGCTCTCTTGAATCGCCTTACCATACCTTCCGTGAGGGTGTCTACCCTTACAGTGGCTCTCGCCCCGAGCCTAGCACGGCTCCGAACAGCGGCGACTTTGCTGAATTGCCAAACCAAACCGTTCGTGAGGAGACAGGCAATAACCGCACTATCATATTGAAGGAGTCAGGGGCAACTGAGGGGAGACTTACTCCATGGAGCGAAGTATGTGTAAGACAACCAGTTGGTAGTTGCCCGAAGCTACTCATCTAACATCAAAATAGGACGATTCGGTCAAGGATCAGAAAGCCAATGCCACCCAGGATCAGACAGCCAATGCCACCCAGGATCAGACTGTCAATGCCGCCCAGGATCAGACTATCAATGCCACCCAAGATCAAACTGTCAATGCCACGGGGCGAAAGGAAACCGAAGCCGAGAAAAAAAACAGGATCGCGTACGAAGAGGCAGATGCCTTCCTCGCCGAGCTTGGGATGGAGCTAATGCTTGCTTCGAATGCCAAGCAGCCCGAGGCTGGACCCAGCCGTGTTCCTGGTGCCAAGCCCCCACGGAAGAAGCAGAAGAAGCAGCCCCGTGTGAGTGAGTTGGCTGCAGAGCCAAAGGCGTCGCTGCAGTCGCAACAGATCCCCAAGCCACTTGTCCGGGACCCCCCCTATCATCCCGCTGTGGTCGCCCTGTTTCAGAACCGGGAGAATGTCTATGTCAACCAGGTTAAGCGAACAACCGCAGCCGACATGTGGGACAAATCAACAGAGAGCAAGGACGGACAGGAGAAGAAAGATGGGAATTAGAAAGACGGAAGAGAGTCTTTGACCCAAGAAGACGCAAAGTTGCGTGGGGCATTTAGTTTTCCCTTGATAAACTATCTGCCTTTGATTTACGGAATGGTGAAAATAAGGTACAGGGCCGACAGAGAAGGAGTTTTGTCAGATGATGACCCCCCAGATGGCGCATGGATATCTGCTTATTGAGCAAGGAGTTGGTGGCATTTTGGCATTTTTGAGGAGTTGGGGGTTTGAACAACTGGTTGATTCCTCCTTTTCGCAAAATGACTGCTTAGTTATGCTTCCATTCTATGGTTCCAACTGCGGTAGAGCAGTCTTCGATTTTAGTTGTGTGTAGAGTTCAATGATTACTTCGTCCCTTTGACGCCAATACGCCCTGCACAGCTTCGCGTCTGTGTCTCAAATCCAAACCCAAACGCTATAACCCAATGTAAATGTGTTGTTTTATTAATGAGTGAGTTATCGAGTGCATTTGCATGCATCCACGAATCACTCCAGCTTGTCCAGGTGCTCCAGCCTCGTCAGGACGACCTGCTTGCTCGTCTCCTCGATCTCGCCGGCGAGGAAGACCTCGTCGAGGATGGCGTAGACCTTGTAGAAGTTGAAGACGAGGTCGAGCTCGCAGACGTTGCCGAAGAAGGCGTCGAGGACCTCGACGAAGAAGTGGATGGCCTCGAGGTAGGCGAGCTCGTTGTCGTTGGTGTCGACGCAGGCGCAGAAGAAGAGCCCTGCGTAGCGGCGGTAGACGATCTTGTTGTTGCGGAACTCGACGAAGTTGGACTGGTACTTTTGGTCGCGGGGCGCGACGAGGCGGTGGACCTCGCCCTTGAGCTTGATCTTTTGGTCGTCGCTGTAGGGGGCGTACCACTTGGCCAGACGGGTCTTGCCCCTGGAGAGAGAGGGTTAGCTTTCAAGGGATCTGTTGGGCACGCGGGGAGGGATTGTGGAGGATGGGATGCTTCGGGTGTGTGTGGACGGTGACTTCGGAGGTGGGACGTACTGGCGATTCTGTATCAGAATGAAGGAGAGCATTGCGGCGAGTTGAGGGTGGTGGATATGTGGTGGGATGATGCAGCTGCACTGATGCTGATGAAGGAGGTCGTGGTTCGGGGATTGTGGATACGGGCCGTTGGTCAAGTCTGGGGTGGGCCGGCCACTGACAGGTTGCGAGATTGTCGACTATGGGCGGATGGGTTCGCGCTAATTTCCATGTGCATGCTCAGTAAGTTTTCGTGATTGACGGTTTTAGGAATTTCATTATAATGGTTTCTTGGGTGCTTGGTATTTCTCTCCTCCCATGGTTCGAAGAGTCTCCTCAGCGTGGTAAGTTGGTGAGCTTACAAATGGGTGACAATGAAATTGAGACACTCAACCCTACCTACCGTACTTATTGTCAAGTCTGCGACCGGTATCATTAGATTGTTGAGTGTTGATAATCAATTCTAGAGAGATAGTACACTGAATTTTATTTTAATGCATTATTTCATACGACTTATTATTTTAGTCATTGTCGAAAACGGCCTACTAAAACAACTCTGTAATTTGGTGTCTCGTTTCTTGTCACCTACCTATCTGTCTTGGCATCACTAGTATAAAAGAGCGTGGTAGGGAGCACTATCGATCTCATTACACAGGTTGTAAAATTTCAAACAGTACTCATTTATTCCATCATAATCTAGAGTTCATCAATTGGGAATTTCATGTGATACGTGTTTGTATTTCTGATTGTATTTCGAGCAATTTGCCAGACCAGACGTATATGAAGATTTGCATGAAGCTCACCCACTTGACGAGGAGAGCTATCCATGTTATAAAAAGAAAGAGAACCAAAAGAAAACCCAAAAATGTATATTTCCACATTATTTTACCAAAAGAAAACTAGAAGAGAGGCACCTGGCTCTGCTCTTTTAAATTCCGACACTGTCGTTGTCATCATAATATCCGCAAATTCGCCTATATGTTACTGTCCAATTGTGTCGTTGTTTATTACTTCCACTTGCCAGCGTCCTCAACGCCCTTGCTGACATCATCTGCTCCCTTCTCGACGCCAGTGCCCAGTGAGCCCAGGGCATCACCGACAGGTTGGCCGGCAGATCCAGTGGCGCCGGTGACCGTATCACCAACTCCGCGACCGGCCGCTCCTGTGACATTGCCGACTGTGCGGCCAAGACCACCCACAAGGCCGCCTACGGAGCTGGTAGCGGTCTTGGCGGCGCCTGTTGCGCCGCTGTCTTGAGTGTTGTCCTTGTTGCCGAGGAGAGTCATGTTGTCGGTTATAAAAGTGACGAAAGATAGATTGTTATGCACGTGTTCTTTTGATGGAAAGTTGAGATTGAGCTTGAATTTGTTGCTTGTATTACTTGATGTCGAACATCTAAGGGCTCCTCTGTGCCCTTCTTATAGCCATCTGAAGCTTTGAATATGCTGTTGTGACGTCAACGATGATAACTCTTCAACCTGAGAGTTTTACGTCAGGGACCCTGATTTTCGTTCATCTTCCCCGGGGTGACGTTGAGAAAGCTTGGTATGATGTAGGCAGGCATATGCAAGAAATCGGATCAATCTGACTGAGTATTTATCATCTTGAGCTTGGGAAGATGATAGACCTGGAGGGTTCCTGTTCCGTACTAGTGCGCCCCGTTGCAAGTTTGAAGATGCCAAAAGCAGGAAGGAGCAGCTTTGGTGTTAGTAGAAATGAGGCAGCAATAGTTTGGACATTTTTGTCTCCCAATTAATTTTCCTGTTTTCTAACCATCAACCCTGTCCGCGCCCGATTTCGATCACTGATGCGCAACGTGGCGCTTGACAGGTCATATACCAAGGAGGAAGGGCATCGCTGATCTTCTGCTCAGATCGGCCGAGGCGAGGCTGTCTTGGTCCCCTCCCGATCGGCAGTATCGGCAGTAGTTGTGCATTGGACAGTCATGTGGAACTACTCCAACACCTCGAACCAGTCGCATGACCTTGACGCCCCATCAGAATAACGGTCGGAGTGGTGGGAGCACTCTAGGTGGGAGGAGACTGAATAATTACTGGAGGGCGGGACCTAATTTGCCGGGAGTATCGCGAGAATTAATCCCACGAGGTAAGTAAGTACGCTGAAATTGGAGATAGTTCTAAACCCCAATGAAGCTATTTTACCCTGCGTCTCCTTCGGCTCCTCTTCCCGTGTTCAACTTTCGTTGCGAAATTGATGCTCGGCTATTCCTCCCTAAGCTGACTTGTTTCTATAGAGTATGCCTGTCGCTTCGTGCCAGGCTATCCTATTCAAAACTCCATCATAGGTAATTTGACCGTGATGATAATTTAATACTGATGATCACTTCATTGTACACCCGTTAAGCTGCCGTTCACAAACTGGTAGCCATGGCGGTGGCGTCGCCAATACGGAAGTTCGTCGATTTCGTCTGGGGAGACTGGCAGACGAACGAACTATGGCAGCGAATTCTCAAGACCTCCCTTGCCTGTGTCATAGCCTTATCTCTTGCTGTCATTCCTGAGCTCGGGGCTGTATATGGCTTGAATACCTATCTTATCCCCATGGTCACGGTGTTTGCCCACCCTGGCCAGAGAATGGGCAAAGTTATCGAATCCCTGGCCATGGCCTTGTTGGGATCGCTGCTAGGACTGGGATGGTCGCTTCTGGGTCTTTTCCTCTCGACTCTAGCTATTGGCCAAAATCCAACCGCGGCTTCAGCAATCCGGGCAATATTCATGCTTGTCTCAGTGCTCATTCATGGCTATGTCCGCTCCCAAACCCCTCGCCTTTTCGCCTTGGTATGGTTTGAGCTCATTTCCTCGGCGACTATTCTTCTAGGGAGTATCACACAGGTCACTATCAAGGCCTTTACCGGCGTATACTATCCAATTCTCACGGGTTCAGCTATCGTGCTTTTTGTAAACTTGTGCATTTTCCCGGAGCATGCAACAAGTTATCTAGGAGCTTCAACTATCAACACATTGTCCGAGTCAATGGACACTCTCGAACGAGCCTCCCACTGGTTCGTGACCCCAGGGGGTGACTCTAATGAGGCGAAAGAGGAGGCGGCGAAGAGTGCAGATCAGGAAGCCAAGAAGAAGACAGCGCTGGGCGAATTCCTGGATGATTTCCCCAATCCCTTTAAATCCTCAAGCAGCAAAAAGGCCCCCTCAGCTGATATAAAACTCACCACCATGGCCAGTCTGAGCGCTAAATCCTCCAAGCTCAGAGCTCAAGTGTCCCAGTGTAAATCGGCACAGAACGAGGTCAATTTCGAGTTTGCCGTCTCTCCCTTGGCCCCAAAAAGTCTGAAGTTGATAAGCAAACGCGAAATATCCAGTCTTGTTCAAAACACCATCACCTTGATCGGTGCATGTGAGAACAAGTTTGTCCTCCTTAGTAATACCGAAAATGCGGTGACTGAGGAAGGTTCTGATTCAGACACTGAATCAGACTTTAGTGATTCACTGGATGAAGAACCACTTGATCCCATCGCCACGAAAGAACTGCATGGTATCCCCGAGGATGATGATGAAGATCGCGATGAACAAATCGGCAGCGTCAAGAAGTTAGACGACGATGACTTTGAACAGATCATCGAGGACGTGAAGCCCTTGAGAGAGATCGAATCAGCAAGCTCGGAGCTTTTGGAGTCCATTTTGCGTCGGATTCGTGAGCCAGTAGAGGATTTCGACAAGGGAATTAGGGGAGCGACCGATTTGTTAATAGCATGTCTTGCATACTGCTACGATGTATCCAAACTCCCATCAGGCGCCCCGACGCCGCAAGGTATCCGGCTGGAGGAAATTGATATCCGTATTGACAGCTTCACGGAGGCCTTGGGGGCATTCGATACGAGATGTCCAGAGGAGTTGAAATTGGCTGCCATTGACAGTTCAGGAAGGAATATTGATTTGATGCCCAGGATGGAGATGTTTCTTGTTTCATCCTTTCTGTTGGGCTATCGCCAGGCCGCGACTCACGTCCTCGAAATGCTCCGCCATACTCGAGCACTCGTCGAAGAGAGACTAAAACGCAATAATAAGCCAAGGGTCTGGATTCCCCACCACACTGACATCCGACAGTGGCTTTATACATCTGGAGAATTGGATCCCATGGTGCTCCCGGAAGCTGGCCGAAAAGAATTGCGTGAGAGCAAGTCGTCAAAAGAGGAGCCAGGAGATGATTCCTCAGACACTACCGTGGAGGAAGGTTTCCTTCCACGCCAGAGAGCGGACGAAGAGAACATAGTAGGAAAATCCCAGGAAAAGGAGACTTCCTCAAAGCGCGAATTCAAGTCAAAGGACTCTAACAAAGATGATAAAACGTTGGTGGGAAAGGTCAGGGATAAGCTTGCTGACTCACTGGAGTGGGCTCAACGGTCAGAGGATGTCAAGTATGCAATTAAGCTTGCCCTTGCTGTCTTCGTCGTGAGCTGGCCTTCGTTTGTCGCCTCCTGGAGAGGGTGGTACGCAGAAGTTCGAGGAATATGGGCCCCTCTGCAACTCGTCCTCGTTTTCGAAGTGTCCATAGGGACCTCGCTTTTTGTCTTTTTTATACGATTGCTCGGCGTCATCTTCGGCTGCGCGATTGGCTTGCTATCCTACGAAATGGGCCGAGGTAACCGAGTTGCTATGGTTGTTATCCTCGCCTTGGGAGTTGTCCCGTCTGTTTATATTCAGCTTGGGACTAAGTATGTGAAGGCTGGTATGGTATCAACTACGACAATGTGCGTTGTGGCACTAGGTAAGTTGTAATAACTCTATGCATTTCGTGATCATTTGCTTACACGCGTTTCGATTTATAGCAACAATAAACCAGACAGGAACGGCCACAGAAAACTTCTACAAGAGACTTGTGGCTTTCCTTGTTGGCTCGGTTGTCGCAATATCTGTGGAGATTTTCATCCTTCCAGTACGAGCAAGGCATCGTCTGGTTGAATCGCTTTCGTCCGCAGTTCGCCAAGTCCAGGCTATGCATGCTGCCGTCTGGGTCGGTATTGATTCGCCTCAGGTGCCCAACTTTCGATCCCATCAACTGGATTATCGCTTCTCTCACGCGAGAGAGAAGGCGCAAACAGCATTGGCGGCGGCAGAGATGTTTCTTCCCTTTTGTCGCAATGAGCCACGACTCAAAGGAAGCTTTAAGCCTCTTGAGCCGATCTACAAAGAAATCATATACGTCCTCCACCAGATCATAAATAGGATGGACAACGTTGTGGATCTTCGGAAAGCATACGGGTCATCGGTCCTCGAGGATCTGCATATGGAGGTCTATGCCTACCGAAGGAATGTGGCAGCCAGCAATACCTTGATACTCTTTTCAGTCCAGGAGGCTCTAACGGACTGGCTCCCGCTGCCGCAGTTCTTGCCATCGAGCCGTCTGGCCCAGGCTCGTCTGGTCAACCATGTACGCGAGACACTCGCATCAGCCGATCTATCTTCAGTACCAACCCCACATCATCATGTTTCACCGTCTTTTAGCACTAGCGGTGGGGATGACATAGCTGTTGTAGATCAAGCAGATTTGGATGAGTATACAGCGAGCATTATCACGGAGCGCAAGTTCCTCTCGTGGAACGCCAACGCGGCCGGCCATATGGAGATCATTGAATATCTCGAGGAGCTCGTCGACCTCACAAAGTTGCTGGTTGGGGTGAATGCATTCCGGAGCGGCCTGCTGGAGAAGCCCAAATACAAAGATTACGTGCGGCAAACCAGAGCTGCTGAGGCGGAGCTGAGCAGGCTCGCGTCGCGGAGAAGCCGGCGCACGTCGAAGGCGACAGCTGATGGACGCGGGGGTTCAAATACGTTGGCGAGAGCCGCGGCCGTGGCTGCTTCTGTGCAAAAGTTCAGGCGGCGGACGCAGGAGCTGAGGATGAAGAAGCAGGCGTCGGCGGCAAGTAACCCCCAGGAAGTTTCTGGAACACAGGCGGCGACTGGGGCGGGCAGACGAGAAGCTGTGGACACGGAGGGTGATGCCATCCCAATGAGCTTGCGGAGAGTGAGGACGAGGATTGAGCGGGAAAGCGTAGTAGTTAGACGGAGAGGCTTCTCAACAGGGGCCATGTAAAGAACACGAATAAATTCACTATGCTTTACGAACCAAGTTGCAAGGGCCCAAATAAGGCAATACGAATTCGCAATTGAAGTCTGCCCTACGGCAGATGGGTTCTCGTGACTACTTAGGTAAGTAGTGCGAGCATATAATAATCCGTTTTTCTCCAACGCCTACTGTGCTAAACTGGGATGATAACAAAACCTAACCTTTCAAACTCGTTTAAAAAATTTCTCCTAAAACTCCGTCCCCTTAAACTTCCCATGGTAATTCTAATTCGTAAGACGAGAGCCAATCCAAACGTGTCCAAATCCAAGGACAAGACAGTTGAGAAGGACTCTCTTGATTCTCAAATGCATCATAGTGACTAAATGATGTGAAGAGGAGCGTGCTGAGGGAGCCTCGTGCCGTTGAGCATGGCCCTCGACCTCTTGGGCCGCTGCTGGAAGCGACGAAAGGCCTCCTGGACGTGTCTCGGCTCGATGGGCCGCTTCCCCTCGCTAGGGGGATCGAAGAGCCCCTGCTCGAGCTTCCTCTTCTTGGAGCCGGCGTTGTCGCCGCCGCTCTGGGCGCGGGCGATGTCCTCCTGCTCCTTGACCTTGAGGGCGATCTCGGTGAGGACCTGGACCATCTCGAAGGTCAGGAAGCCAAGGATGTCGACGATATCGTCCGAGGGCTTGCTGTCCGTGACGATGCCGAAGCCGGCCCACTCCCTGAAGCGCTTGCCCTTGCGGTAGGTGAAGGAGGCCTGGCGGTACTCGGACCAGGTGACGTACTCGTCCTTGGTCATGACCTTTGTGCGCTCGTCGGCGCGGCGGAGGCGCTGGAGGGTGATGAAGTTCATCTCGTCCTCGTCCTCGTCCTCCTCGTCCTCGCGCTCGGGGACCTCGACGGGGTAGAAGGAGGACTGCTCCCAGGGGAGGCCGACCTTGGCCTTCTTGTTCTTCTTGGCCTGGTCGTCCACGGGGCCGCCGACGACGCCGCCGACGGGGTCGTCGCCACCGGCGATGTCGGCCTCGGCGCCCTTGTCGTCCGAGTCCTTGACGTTCTTGCGCACGTCCTTCCAGGAGAGAAAGGTCCTGAGGCGCGAGACCTTGGCCTGGTCGTGGCGGATCTGGAAGATGAGATCGTTGATGCCGATGGACTTGGATCCGCGGCGGGAAGCCAGCTCTGTGCAGGTTCGGAGCTTTTGGTGGTACAGTTAGATATGGATGCTTTCAGATTGCCCTCCCATTCCTGGGTGAGAGGTAAGAAGAGAGAAGGGAGGGGGAGGTGTACCATTTCAATAACCTGCTGCCGGACAATATCTTCCATAATGCCAGTAGTTTCGACAGGAGGTTCGGCGGTTTCTCCAGAGACATACATCATCTGTTTGATTGTTCCCATTAGTTCAAGCTGAAAGGGACTTTTCCTTGTGCTGTGAGCGAGTTGTTCGTGTATAAGGTCAGGGAAGAGGGATTCAGCCATTGTGGCAAGTCGTTGAGATGACCTGCGGCTAATGAAGTATGGTGGTTTTGAATGAAATCGAGAATGACGGATAAGAAAATGCAAGAAGATGGCGAGTTAAGTGGTGCGGGAAATGAAAACAGAGAAGAGGAGGTCGCGATGTTGTGAGATGTTTGTGAGATGTGGTGTCAACAGAGGAGCGTAGGCCAACTGCTAACACACTGGCGTGCATCAGGCATATGCCGACGGACCGTTCAAGTTCGCTGATGTCCATAGATACGTCGCACTCGCAACAGGAGCTCTCAGTCCACTAGTAGTGCTCTCTTCCGTTTGCACCTGGCCATTCCTCCCGCGCAAGGCTTGGCTCAACAACAGCCAGCCTCCATTGCGTCGGTTCTGGCCCCCCGGTGCGTGCTTGACTAGACACGTTATGCGATAGAGAAGTAGATGCGGCGGACGCATGGATCATATATAGTAAATAGTGTCAACATACCTGGCTGATCTCCTGCCGGTACTTATACTGCTTGTCCGCCATCTTGAGCAACGTGGAGCGCAGTCAGTCAGGCACAAGACACGGATTCAAACAGGAACAAATGATAACGAAAAGAGAGAAAGGATAGAAGAGACCCAGATATGATATGGAACAAGAATATTTCACATTGCCGCTTCCCCCAACAGGCAAGCGGGACGTCGCAATCGTGATTGATGCACGGAGATGGGCTGTGAATCAATTAAACTTGATGGGCGTGGAGACTCGAGTCGCGGTTGAGTTCGACACTGGTGTGATTATGTAATCAGACACACTTTCCCCCTGGAAGCCGAGAGTCTCGCTCTTTGTTTGGTATTCAGTCTTAAGACATCGAACTCTGTTCAGGAATCGTTTGAATTGTTTTATTTCATATATTCATGGTGTTTGGTATTGCCCCGATATATTAGCTACCCGGACCAATATTACACACGTCTGGGTATCCCAACCACACAAGAATGCTCATACGCTCAGCAACGGCCAGCCCTGCTGAATGAGATACAGCCGGGTCACTCTTCGGCCAACCCACTGAACCCATCTCCTCTATAGCCCCAAACTATAATGTAATGCGCCGCAAGGAGTTGCCACTCTTCCACCTCATCCAGCCCTTCTAGACTGTCCACACGTTCCTTCTCCTCCTGCGTAACCCATGAGTTCCAGATGTCTTCTATCGTCATGTGTTTAACCACCTCGAAACCAGCCTTGGACAGCCGGTCTACCTGGTCCTTGGCCTCTCTGTAGACATCCAGGGTTGGCATCCTGATATGCCGCGCTGCGAGATTGGACACCATGACCTGGCCAAAGGGATCATCTGGCCGGATAGGTTCATAGATAACGGTGGCAAGATTGGGGATTTGTGCCGTAAAGAAACTGATCACACCGTTGGCTTCTTGAGGAGAGAGGTAGCAGAGACAACACTCGGAAAGCAAAAGCGTGGGTACATTAGTACGCAACCCCGGCAATGTCAAAGACTCTTCATTGCCAGGTAGTTTCCTAAGGTCAAGCCCATGGCAATAGAACAGGCCTCCATTCGAGGGTTGACTCGTCCATGAGTTACTGGCTTCCTCTGGATCGGCCGGGGGGACGACGGATGCATCAGGAAGAACACGTGAGAGAAGAGGAACGCCCTTTACAATACGGAGTTTCTTGCTGCAGACGACTTCGAAATCAATTTCGTGATAGATCAGCCCGTGGCAATTTTGCTGGGAGAATATGCGAAATGGGCGGGTATCGGTGCCAGCTCCTAAAGCGACTATCTGCTTGGGAGACTCAGCATCCAGCGTGGAGAGGAAAGCATCTATAAGCCGGTCTAATCCCGACGTGCGTGTGTAGGTGCCTGCAGATTTACGACGCATCGAAGAAAACAATCAGTTTGGGCAACATTCTCTCATCACCAGGTGCACAAGGGTGTAGATGGCGGGCACTGTGCGGCAAGGGTAGCGCACCTCTGTTAATAATGGGGAGTCGCCTAGCAGGCGGCCCGTTGGGACTCTGTACAAAGAACTGCGCACATGGATCGTGAAGATAACCCAAGTCGACGGCGCTTAATCTCGACACTGCAGCATCGGTATCTGTGCCCTGGATGACGGCATCATGGCCCTGGCCGGTGCGACGAGAGGGACCAGCGCCAGGACCACCACGGCTCCGGCCTCCGCGAGCGCCTCCTCTACTGCCCCGCAGGGATAAGAGGTTGGGGATGGACGGAGCAGACTTGTCTGGCGGGTTCATCCTTTGCTGCTGCGGTTGGTTGCTGGGGGCGGAAGAAGAGGAAGCAGACGGGTCGTGAAGTGTTGGAATAGATACCTGGCAGCTTGGGCGGTTAGTGTGCAGTTGCTACCTAAGTACCGCTGTAGCTGCCCACTCAGTATTTTGTATGGATGCACTCTGGGAAGTACCTCAGATAGACTCAGGCCCTGCAGCATCACCACATACCACTCTAAATTAATCACTGATAATGTTCACCATCTCATTGTTCCTACATTGAGCATACCAAGCGATCGAATCCTAGCAAATGTGAAGGGCCTGCTAGGATAGCTATTTACGATTAAGACTCAAGCTTTGAGATGGTGATGTGATGCAGGGTTCCTTCACCACGAAGAGGATGAAACCCGTTTCGCATAAAGTGCCAAAGCCAAACTGGTCGCGGCCACCACGAGCCAACAGCCATCGATTCGTCTTGAAGCATCAATCCACACCAACTCGTCCAGACGGCTTGCGTGTATCCATGCGATAGTCGCCCACTGATCTGTGGGCACTCTGCTCCATCACCTGTTTCGTCGTCATCAGACTAGTCACATCGTGGGGTGCTGAAGATGTCTCCGAGGCCGAAACGTAGGCATATTCAGGCCGGGTAATTCGGTGCTAAGGTGTGATTGATATGGAGGTTTTCGCATCAATAGGCAAGTACCTACACAAACGTGTTTACAGGCAGCCTGTACATCGTGTCTATATATATCCGTCTAATTACTAAGGCAACGTTAAGGCGGGCATGCGTTTATACGCCGTTGGGGGTGTCTGCCCTGTGGCACTTGGCGCTTGAACCCCCTGTAGGATCCCTGCAGGGTCGCTGCATCGGGTTTTATTGTGAGGTGGTTGCCTTGCAGTGCACTGCCACTGCCTGTGCGGCGGGGTAGGGGGCCTGGCTACGTAAGTCCTCTTGCTCCCAAAGTCCCCTTTAACTGGTCCTGTAAGCCGCCCATCCGCCCAGAACTGACACTCATCCAACCAGTTGCGGCTGCCTTCCTTCGCCGTCCGTCCCTTCCCTCATCCGCCCATTCTTACCTCATCATCCCTCCCTGTTCGTATATCTGTTCGCTCTCTCGTTCTAGCTGATCCCCTTCTCTCATCTCCCCTCATCTGGTGTGAACCGGAACTGCGTCTCTCTTCCACTTTGGTTTCCCAACACCAGCGCCATTCATTAGAATCCCAAACTCTCCATTACCCACTATTTGACTAAGTGACTTGCATTCACGATGCTGCAAAACATCGGCTCTGCCATCTACAAGCGCTCCCTCGAGGCTGCGGGGGACCAGACTGTCGTTGTCCAGCTTCCCTGGTGGACTCCCATCGTCTTCTTCATAAACGTGCTGCTAATCGTCCCCATCGTTTTCTGTGTAAGTCTTCCCTCGTCCGTCCCAACGCAATACTTCGTTTTGGATCCCATCTGACCTCTCCGTCTGAAGCTTGATTATACTCTGCAAACCCTCTATCCTACCTTTGTCATTGTCGAGGATGAGAACGCTGCCGACTTCGAGCCTCTGGTCCCCAAGTCTCCCAAGAATGGCAAGTCGGGCGATGAGGAGGAGGATGTTCCTGTAACTCCGTCACCCGTCTCCAACTCCATCAGGTCCATCTACCGACTCCTCCGAGCCAACGGCGGTTTCTTCGCCAACTTCCGTGGACTCTCCATCTATCTCGTTGAACGATTCATTACTGTGATTATCTTGCACTCCGCCATCAGATGCTTGGGTCTCTACCTTGGCCTTATCCTCGGTCCTGTCCTTCATCTTCTTTGCAACCTCCTTCTCGCCCAGCTCAGCACTGCCTGGGTGCACATTGTCATCACCCCTGCATCGCCCCTTCGCTGGTGGAGGCGCCTGCCTGCGTTCAGCACCACCGTCAAGGCCGTTTGGGGACCCATGTTTCTCTTCAGTATTGCCTCCTTCCTCGCCGAATGGGCACCTTTCGTCATCGCCAAGGCTGTCCACTTCCCTCTTGGTTTCCACGCTGCCATGGCCGCCCAGGACGGACAAAAGCCCACCCTCGGATTTGCTTGCTTGCTCCTCGTCAAGTACTTTGCTGTTCTCGCCGGCTCCATCGTTGCCGTTATCCTCCTCATCGTTCCCACTAGGATGATTCTCGTCCGTGTCCAGGCCTCGCTGCTCCCTGTTGATGAGGATGCCATCATCCCCTTTGACCGCTCCTTTGGCGGCCGCGTCCAGACTGCCCTTGTTGGCGGCCGCGGATTTGCCACCATCACTGATGTCTGGTCCACCTTTAGCCGTGCTGTCATGGGCCGCTTGGTCAAGCTCCATGTCAAGGTGATTGCCATCAATGTCTTGGTCGGCTTCGTCCTCGGTGGTTTTATCGTCTTCCCTTCAGTCCTTGCCGTCACCACCTACTCAACTGTGGTGAAGGCCTAAGGGATCTGTCACAAACAGACGGAATCAACTACATGAAGAGAGAAAAAGAGGAGGGACGTGTTTCATTGCGAAATCCATATCCCTAGAACCAGGCAGGCTTGGACGGACGAAGGGATGCTGTAGAGTATCATCGTGTAACAATGGAATATCTAGCAGAAACCATGCATTTGTTTGTTTAGGTTTGGTCATTTTTATTTAATGGGTTAGGTACAGTCTCTTGAGTCTCAATAAACTAAAGCTTGCTTTATCTCGCACAAATTTTGCCGCCACTTGCACCCCTCGTATACCATTCTGAGCGGATGCTGTCGATTTGTTCAAATCCTATAAGTTGTTCATCTGTAATCATGATAATAAAAAAGACAAGAGAAACTCCCCCATCCTTCTACGACTCCCCTCACATATAAAAAATCATTTTCCTGTCCGTTGCAAGGCCCTCGCTCTCCACACAACTTTCATTCAGTATATAGGTCCCTCCCCCGTGTTCCATTTCCGTCCCAAGAGCACGCAAAATCCAATCCGCAACAGGCAGCCTCCCAAAGTATGCATTCCCACTTTCGCCGGCGCCATACTAGGGATACGACGGTGCATCAACTCATTCCGTGTCATCTCAAGCTGAAGCAAAAATAAATAAAAAGTAAAAAGGAAGAGAAGAGAAGAGAAGAAGGGGGAGGGGGAGGGGAGGACAAAAAAGATTCGTTCATTGCTGCGTGGAGTGGAGGGTATTTGATCTTTTTCTATCGTTATCTACTCAAAAGACGCCGAGGCAGGAATATATATAGCCCCGTTGGGCGCGGGGGCGGGTATTGGGAAAATAAATTGGAACTGTCCGTCCTTCTTTCCTTTGGTTTTAGGACTTGTTGAAGAACCCCCAGCTGGAGCGCTTGTTGCCGCCGTTGTCACCGCCCTGGAGGGACTGGATCGTAGGGATGGCGGGGGTGTCGCCGCCTCCACCGCGGAGAGGCTTCGCGATCCGGCTGCCTGCGCCAGCGAAGCTGAATGCGCCGTCCGAGTTGTTCAGGCCCCGGGTGCTTCCGGCCTTGGCGATCTCAAGACGCTCCTTGACGGAGGCGAGTTGAGCCTCGAATCTGTAGCACACAGGGTTAGTAGGTGTTCAGTCAGGGGGAAGGTAGGAAAGGGGGAGGGGGTGGGAACATACTTGTGGTTGGCTGCGGCCATCTTCTCCTGGCTGTCTTGCAATAGGCTCTCCAGACTCTGGATGCGTTCATTACGAGCTATCAGCTTGCGCTCGGCAATGGCCACCTCCTTCTTCAAGGCTGAGTTCTGCTCAACCAGCTGTCGTTGGACCTGGGTGAGCTGCTCCAGGTTCCTCTCCAGGAAGGCCATCTTCTTCTGCTGGGCTCGGTTGTTCGATGACCGTAGGACGTTGTTGTATTGCTCGCGAGTCTCGTCCAGGGAGATCTCCAACTCTACAACTCGTTCACAGCGGTTCTGCAGATCCCGCATGAGACTCTTCTTCATGACATCGAACTCGGCAATCTGTTGCTGAATCGTCTTGCCATTGGCCAAGGGGGTGGCTGCGCCAGTCTTGACACGCTGCTGAAGATCTTCAATGAGAGTCTTCATCCTCGTGTTCTCGGCTGCCTTCTGGGTAATCTCGGATTTGAGCTCTTCCACGAGTTGGGTCTCGGTGTGCGCGCGGCTAGAGTAGACGTGCTCCAGGCGTGCCTTGACCTCCTCAATGTCTGCTTCACTCAGGTTCCTGGTCAACGCATCCTCGTACTCTTGTTGCAGGGCGAGAAGCCTTTGCTCCAACTCCTGCCTTCGGCGGCTATCCAAGTCACTGCTGGAAGAGACACTGTACATTGAAAGCTCTGCTTGTCGAACAATGCCCTGGGTCTCAACCAACTTTGAGCGAAGTGCCTTGAACTCGTCAGGTGCAATGTGGTCGCCGATGGTGCTCTGCTCATGCAGTTTATCGAGTTGAGCAATCGCCTCGGCAATTGACTGGTCGTTGTCACTGAAGACTTCACTTCCGAGGTCAAACCCGGCCATCATCTTGGCCATCTTCTCCGCCTTCTTCTTCTCCTTCTCGTCCAGAGCCGCGCCGCTCTCCTTAGCACTCATCTTCACATCCAGGAGTTGTTGCTTAACCTCATCAAGCTCGGTGGTGAGCTCCCCGTTGGCCTCCTTCAGGGCATCCATTGTGATCTGGGCCTCCTTGCCCTCGAAGTTCAACCGCTCAAGTTGCATCTTGAACTCGTTGACCTCAGAAGTCAGCTTTTCGTTCTCCTTTCCAACTTTGCTGTCATGCTCCTTCAGGTACGTCAGCTCTTCCTTGGTTTCACGCAACTGCTTCTCAGCAGCTGAGGCTTGTGATTCCTTCTCGGCCAGCTGGTCCTGGAGCTCATTCTCGCGCCGTAGGAACTCATCTCGCTCGTCCTTGTCAACGGGTATGCTGGGGGTTCCCGACCGTTCTGAAATAGCCGGGGTCTCTGAGCGGCTCTCGGCGGTCAAGCGAGAAGGGGTGGATGGACGAGGTGCCCTAGCTTCAGCCTTGGAGCTTGCAACTCCATCTGCGGCTCTGGGGGGGACCCATCTCTCCCTGGGGACTGCTTCACCGGCACGCCACAGCTGGATTTCGCCCTCCAGGTTGGAAATGTAACTCTCGAAGTTGGTAACCTGGCCCTGGGCCTTCTTGAGGAGGGCCTTGAGCTCAGCAGGACTGAGCTCAGCGTTGACCTTGGCTTTGTTCTTGATAGATTTGGCTCTCGTACCGAACCGGAGTGTACCTAGAGTTTCGGCATCGTTGTAGGAACTGGGGGAACAGTTGATGATGAGGGTAGTACGGCTGTTACCACCCAGGGACTCCTGGAGGATTCTGGTGAGTTTCGAGTCTCGGTATGGAATATGCGATGATTTCCCGTCCGTCAGCGCATTGATAACCATACCGAGCGCACTCAAACTCTTGTTGATCTTCTTGGCTTCCTCCAGCGTCTGGCCGCTGGCGCCAGTCTTCCCCACCTTTTCGCTACCCGCCAAATCGACCAAAAACAGCTGACCGCTCTTCGCTGAACCCGTCTCGACATTCTTCTGGGTGACTGTAATGACGAAAATGGAGTGTGATCGAGAGGATTCCTGGTTCATGTTGGTCGCAGAAACGGCACGGGCAGCTCCTCCCCTCCTCATGACCTCGAAAACCTCCTGCACGCTCGAGACATATATCTCGAGCAAACCCTTGACATATACTCCTCGATTCTTCTCCTCGTGGACTGGCAAATTGTCATTCTGGGGAGCCAGCAGATCTCGGATTCTCTCCATATAGATTTCCATGTAGCTCACCCGCACTGTGTACTCGATGGTGCTCGGACTCGTCATGATGCTGGCGAAAATCTGCTCCACAATGCGCGGAATAACACCTCTCCCCTCGTCGTCGTCGATGGAACCCATCATAGTATAGGATTTACCCGCTCCGGTCTGACCGTAGGCGAAAACAGTTCCGTTGTAGCCATTGAGAATATCATCGACGGTCGGGCGGATAGAAAAGTCGAAAATGTCCTGCTGCTTACAGCTCATATCAAACACTCGGTCGAAAGTAAAGCTTCCCTGCGCTTCCCTTGACTAAAGAAGCTCATGATTAGTCTCCAAAACGAAGCTCGGTAACGAAGCATCAGGGGCAAGGAGGGGAGCTTTACGTCAACGGTACATGAGTCCTCCGAGTCAAAGTTCACGATAGGCTTGCCGCCCGACTCCAGCTCGACCTTATTTTGAGGCCGGAAACGGGCGACAACCTTAATACTATTTGCGGCAGACATCTTGGCGGTGGTGAATTCACGACAATCTTGCTATTGCTGTCATAGGGTGCCGTCGTGGGGGGAGAAGGCCAGGTTCAGGGGCCGGTTTTGCACGAGCCGCAAAACGGCAACGAGAGCAGCGGACGGGGTGCCGCACGATCAAAGAAAGCGGCGGCGGCAGGTGAGGACAAAATACAAAATAAAAAAGAATCAAGGCGAGACAGCACTGCGCAGGTTGTGCCGCAAGGACGGGGGGTAGTGGATACAGATATGATGATGCCCGCAGCGACAGGGGAAGCGAGGTCGGCAACTGTTTTGGTGTCGAGGGAGGGTTGATACGGAGCAACAGCCAGCGAGTGGGTTGTTGACGCGCTGCATAATAGGGAATGGTGTGGTGGGTGCGCGTGGTGCAAGATGACAGGATAACGGTGCCTGATGCGGGTGGAGTCCAGCTGCCCGGCGGGAGCTTTGCTGGGATCAGGCCGCTGAGAGGGCTGGCGGCCAGCGAGCCCAGCGCCGTGTTATAGCGTCTCACCCGTCCCTCCAGGGTCCGTCCAATCGCTGCTCACCGAGCACCAGGATTCAGTGGCGGCCGTGATGATGATGCAATGCGGCGGCATATTTGAAACTCATGCAGCGAAATGAGGACCAAGGCGCAGTGATGCAATAGCAGAAAAGCAAAATGCTGTTGTGATGCGGCCAGACGCCAGTACCTAGTGCTCAAAGCGAAGCAAACCTGCTAACTGATCCTCCCATAGCCAAACCGCGTGGTATAATCAAGTCCCAAACACCAAATGAACGCCATCACGACAGATTTCCGTTGCTTCTCTGAGGGGGAGGGGGTGCCACATGTGATATCTATGTCGGGAGCACCCAGGACCGCTCCTTGGTAAACTTTGAGACTGCCAAGACAAGCCCAGTCACCCTCCCTTCAGTCCTCCCAGCTCTTCTCTACAGTCTCTCGTACTCTCTTAGTGTACTCCTTTCTGTTGTCTTTGTACAGGTTCGACGCCTCGACGTTCGCGGGCGACCCAGTATTGGGATCGTTTAGTAGACTAAGATATGGCTTGTAAGCAAAACTGGCAGTGCTCCGGGTATCGGCGGGGTGCGGCTCAAACCTTTGAATGCTCGTGAGAACGGCGGCGACGTCGTATGTAGGGCTCCATCTGTTCTGCAGAATATCCAAGCAGAGCTCGCCGGTGGCATAGACGTTGGGGTGGAACATTTGGCTGATAAACTTGACTTGCGGAGGCTTGTTGGGGTACTGCTCTTCGAATTGCATAACGAGTCGGAAGGTGCCATCTTCAAAAGGAGTGTCTGCAGGGCCTATGATGACGGCGTTCCTGAACGGTGCCACAGATGGTGAGTCTCCATGTACTTGTGTTGCAAACTTGTGTTGGAAATCATCAGACTCACCATGTCATTACATTATCGGGAACTGGGGAGGCTGAAACACCAGCAGGAGGGTCTGTTTGCATGCGCTGGGGCTTCATCAGCACTGGAAGCATGTGGGCGAGGGCTCACAATGGACCAACCTTGAAGTCACGCATCAAGCGGCGCCGGGCTGCGGTCGACATGGCTAGGGCTTTAGGTCGCAGGGAGCGGGAATTAAGAAGAGGGAGGATTGGAGATGCACCGAGGTTGGAATCTTGGCTAGGGCGCAAGACAAAGCGGAATGAAGAGTCGTTGTCGTGATCGTTGAAGTTTAAGAAGGTGGCGTGGAGTTAGATAGAAGGCAAACGCTGGCTCCGACTGGTAAGTAAGCTGATGGTCGAGCCCGCCGACGCTCAGGCCCAGCCTAATGAGGTCAGAGGCCAATGGCCACAGGGCGTACATAATCACAGGTGCTCACGTGATGCCCTTGTTGTTTGTCGGCCGGCAGTGGGTGTTAGTGCCTCTGATTATTATTAATTGCGACTAACGCCAGCTCGAACCCCGCGCCTTCAAACGATGCCGTGCCGAATGCCCTCGGTGTGTGAATCGATGCGTGATAGGAATGGTGACAGAATTTGCCCGAGCCGTATCTAGTAAGCAGGCGCTAGAAGCAGAGGAAGGGCAATTCATCCGTCATGAATAGCCCGGATGGACAATCAGGATCGCACCAAGATCAACCAGATCAGATGCGACCAGGATCACGCCGGCCGGCTGTTCTGAGACGTGCCGTTGAGAAAACCCACCACAGCACACTGTTACGAGAGAGCCCTCAGCTCGGATCCGATAGAGTGATGGCTCCCGTACCGTACATTATGGTTTGGCACCGGCACAGCAGCGTAGTGGCACCCGCTAATACCCCAGACTCGCCTCGTGTATCCGTATCCGACAGCACTTAAGCCGAGGTGTACCGAGCCTGGAAACGGAAACCTTCACGGCAAGCTCCAACCATCATAAAGCCCGTGTCTCACCTGCCATTCCTCCTCTCACTCAGATCTGCTCAGTATCTTCCATATTTCTGTCTTCTTGCTCCAGACACTTGCACAGCATATCCCACAGCAGCAATCATGGTGGCATCGCAGCTCAAGTCTGCGAGGATGGCGGCTCACCTGGCCAAGCATGTGAAAGCCGCCCGAAGCTTCTCCAGCACCACAGCATTCCGCCGCGAGATCCAAGACGCATACATCCTGAGCGCCGCCAGGACACCTACTGCCAAGGTCAGCATACTCCCTTGATAGCTTCGTCTTCCGCGTTGTCATTTCGCTCGACTAACGTGCTGCAATAGTTCAATGGCTCATTTACAACCGTCCCCGCGCCCAAGCTCGGAGCTACAGCAATCAAGTCGGCAGTCGAGAAGTCTAATGTGCCCGTCGAGAAGATTACCGAGGTCTATATGGGAAACGTCATCTCAGGCTCCATAGGCCAAGCCCCAGCACGCCAGGCCGCCATCTTTGCAGGCCTGCCGCAGTCGGTTGAGGCCATCACCATCAACAAGGTATGCGCCTCGGGTCTCAAGGCGGTCGTCTTTGCCGCGCAAAACATCCAGCTTGGACTGGCAGAAGCACAGGTTGCTGGTGGAATGGAGAACATGACCAGAATACCGTACTATGTTCCTCGCGCAAGCAACTTGCCACCTTTCGGGCACGTCCAGATGGAGGACGGTTTAATCAAGGACGGGCTGACGGACGTTTACGACAAATTCCACATGGGCAACTGCGCCGAGAACACCGTCAAGAAGTATGGCATCACAAGGGAGGAGCAGGATGCATATGCCATTCAGTCGTACAAGAATGCCCAGGAGGCCTGGAAGGCCAAAGCTTTCGCTGATGAGATCGCACCCGTCACTGTATCTAGCAGAAAGGGTGAAACCATCATCGACACCGATGAGGGCTTCCTCGATGTTAAACTCGAAAAGATCCCAACTCTTAAGCCGGCCTTCGTTCGCGATGGTACCGGGACAGTCACGGCCGCCAACTCATCAACCCTCAACGACGGCGCCAGCGCACTGGTCCTCGGCAGCAAAGCCATTGCTCAGCAGTATGGCAGTGGATCGAGGGTCTTGGCAAAGATTTGCGGCTATGCTGATGCGGCTATTGCTCCCATCGACTTCCCTGTTGCTCCATCCAAGGCTGTTCCCCTCGCTCTAGAGCGGGCCGGTATCACCAAAAATCAGGTCGCCGTTTGGGAGTTCAACGAGGCATTCGCAAGTGTGATCCTCGCCAACCAGAAGATCTTGGGACTGGAGGGTGCCAAGGTCAACCCTCTCGGTGGAGCTATTTCACTAGGCCATGCTCTTGGAAGCTCCGGTTCACGTATCCTGACAACCTTGTTGCACCAGCTTAAGCCTGGTGAGTATGGTGTTGCGGCTATCTGCAATGGCGGCGGCGCTGCTACCGCCGTGGTAGTTCAACGGGTTGAGTCCGTGTAAGGTCCGGGCGATATGAAGAATAAAGAGCTCATGATTTCACGTCTGTAAATAGATTTGTCCATATTACTTTATTTAAAATTGACGAGCGATAAGAAACCGTTCGTTATCTCATCAACAAACAATTCCTCGCTTCCAGCACATGCTGTAGGTGGCCGGTAAACAATAAGATTATCTGTGCACCTCTTTTTCCATACAATATTTGGATGATTTGACAGTAGGTTTTTCTTCAATGAACAAAAATGAGTTACTCCCTATTGTCTACTTACTCTCACCGTACTTCAATAGCAAGAGGAGGCTGGCTCAGATGTAGGTCCGTGCCCCACAATTTTATCATCACCACCGCGTCTTACTCGAAAAGGAACATGTTGAAACGACTCCCAATCCATGACTTCTCCATCGCAATGCCATCATGTCTCTGGTGATTCAATTTCTGTCCCAGATCCGGAACTTTATACGCAAACAAGATGGGGACTCTCTGCGGTCCTGGTTGCAAGTCGGCCCCAATTCGCCCAGGCAGTATCATGAGTTGCGCGCAGAACTTCGCAACCAATATCGCCAGTCGGGCCTAGACAACATCATTCAGAAGTGTCTGCCTGACGATGAGGACGATGAAGTAGAGGGCGAGGCCGTACCATGGCCCAGTCTTGTCACTTTCATCAAGGAATACTTCACCTTCTGGAGGGACGCCGACTACGATGCTGATCTCGTCCGCACACATCAGCTGTTGAGTACTCTTGTGAGGTAGGTGGCCGTCGAAAGGCTGAGGGCGTCACGTTCTACAGCACTATATATTTCTTTCTAGTTCTTCAATAACTTTGAGCTAACCTTTACATTCAGCTCTTGCGCCACCGCGTTGACGCATCCAGCATACGGAGCCATGCTACTCAAAACAAGCATGTCGTTGTCAGACGTCCTTGCCCGATTGACAATGACGCTCAACAGGCGTCCCGAGCTCACTCGCCAGCTGCGTACTAGCAATGACGACGAGAGCCGTAAATCTATTGCTGAGTCCTCGGCCGAGATCATCCAGAAGATCTTCACCGCATGCTTGAATGACCGGTCTAGTGATCGATCAAGCCCTCCCAAGGGCAAAAGGGTGGCCATCTACATATTTGCCAACCTTGTCCTCAAGCTTCTTTTCGCCGTGAGTCCTAAACACAGAATATTGCTTATTAACACCTTCTCACCTGTGCTATTCAGTGTCGGCGGATACACCTGGCCAAAATGATATTCTTCAACTTGGGCGCCAACTCTCCCCCTCTATCCCTCTACCCAGCCGCCCAGCGCGTTACCTTTCTCTATTATCTCGGCCGCTTCAGTTTCTCAAGCGGAAACCACTACCTCCGAGCAGCAAACTGCCTCGAAGCAGCCTACCTCCAAACCCCGCCTCGCTTCACCTCCCACCGCACCAACATCCTGACATACCTCATCGCCGCCAACATCCTCCTGGGCCGCTTCCCCTCCGCCAGCCTCCTCCAGCGCCCGGAGTCCAGGACCCTCGCCCCCATCTTCTTCCCCCTGTGCGCGGCCCTCCGCGGCGGCGACTTCATCAGCTTCCAGGCCCACCTCGCCGAGCACGAGGACTGGCTCCTCGAGAAGGGCCTCCTCGTACCCCTCACCCACAAGCTCCGCCCCCTCCTCTGGCGCTCCCTCGCCCGCAAGACCTTCCTCCTCACCTACGTCCCCCCAACCGACTCCGCCTCCCGCAAGGCCGCCACCCTCGACGTCGCCGACCTGCACGCCGCCGCCGTCTACGTCCAGCGCCGCCTCGAGGGCTGGGTCCCCAGGCCCGCCGGCCACGCCCACCAGCCCAGCGTGAACCCGCTCCTTATGAAGGCGCTCGCGAACAACACGCAGGAGGACCCGGGGACCACCCTCGTGCCCCCGCCCGCCGGGAGGCCCAGCAGGCTGCGGCCCAACGAGGGGCTCGTATGGGGCAACGCCGAGGTGACGCCCGACCACGTCGAGCTGCAGCTGGCCACCCTCGTCGAGGAGGGCCTGATGCACGGGTTCATCGCCCACGGACAGGGCAGGTTCGCCATCATTGGCGCCAAGGCCAAGGGGCCCGTCGCCGCGGGCTGGCCGAGCGTGTGGCAGTCCATACAGGAGAGGAGGTACGAGGAAGACTACAACCCAGATGATGTGCCTGGGTGGGTTCGGGTTTGATCGTTTAGAAGCTCTAACTGGTCCAGGCATGTGTAGTACATCAGTGCGTGGCATAAAGAAAACCAAAATCGTATTCCAGTATCAAAATGATCAAGACAGTGTTTACCAAATACTAAACAATATTTACTCATATCAGACTTTGATTATCAAACATAAAATACAGAGAGTTTATGATTCGCCCACGGCATACGAAATGTAGTTTCACCTGCCCACCTAGGTACTGGGATGCATCACCTCAGGTCTGGCCGAACCGCGCTGATCAATAAAATCAGAACAACGAACCTCCTCAATCACATGAGTTACAACAAATTCGGGGGCACAAAAGACATCTTGACGAAAATGAGGGAGCTGGAAGAAGCCGTCCGTACCCACAAGAGGGACGTTATGTTGCCGTGGCCACAGATCGGGGTATATGTCGTGCCGAAATACATTCGAAAATTGCCAGGAGGCAATACCGACGAACTGACCCTGTCAATGAGGAAATACTTTATGTATGAGAAGGCCGCGACCGCAGCCCGTGCCTACAACGAATGGAACTATACCGATCTGGTCTTTTTAAAGAACGTCCCGGACAGATGGTACATCGTCGGAAAGGTACCCAAGACCGCAAAGAAGAAAGCATCCAACAAGAACAAACAGACGGAAGTAATCTCAGACAGCGAAGACGAGGTCGCCGAACCAAAAGTCAGGTACTTCACAACACAAACCCAAATGGGCCAAGATCAAATAGACAAACAGGTATTGAATGCTTCGTCTGCATTTACACTCGAGGACACCCTCCGATCCTTATTGAAAAAGGATGGCATAGGCGGATGTTGAAACATCATTGTCCTGAGCTACTAAAACTAAAAAATATGTGACATATATACTAAAATATTCACAAAAAGTGATCAAAAGAATTCCCATAAAAGTACACCTGTTTTTTAAAGCGTGCATGTCCGTCCAAACATTGACATCGTCCCAGAAACAACCATCATGCCTCTTCTGATATGGAAAAAAAGTGTACCGCGGGTAGAAAGAGGATGGAATCCTCTCACGCGAAAAAGGGGGGGTATTTATTGAAGTAGATACAACAATGCTGGGCCTGTATAGGCAAGAAGAATGTGGTCCCAAGTGGGAGAACGACTTGCGTCAACAGACGCGCCGTAAAATAGACACTATCACTGATGTGTTTGCCTGCTATGTAGGGTTGGCAAAGATATTTGGAGATGAAAAAGAAAAGGTCGTAAGTTTCAAAGCATGTGCGGAGAGAAGAAGAGCAAAAACAGCCGTAACGCTTCAAACGTTGTAAATATAAGCCGAGTAGGGACAGAAAATAATAAGATTACGTCCCAAGAGAGCTGTTATGTTGCATTACAGAAAGTAGGCTGCGGCAACAAAAGCAACAACGAGTCCAGCGAGAGCAGGGCTTCCAGACTTGCGCTGAGCAATGCCCTTCTCATCGGACTTGGTTGTAGATGCCTCCTTCGTGGCTTCGGTGGGTTGAGCGTTTGATTGGGCATTGGTAGCTGTGGCCCCTGAGGATGACGAGTCATCATTCTCATGGAAGATACCACCAGGCTTTGAGCTAATCTTGGCCCCGGTTGCGGACGGCGTTGGCGAGCCTGTTGGGGTGCTGGATTCTTCGGTCGAGCTCGGGCTCGAGGTTGAGCTTGCGCTAGAGCTTGGAGATGAGCTGGACGATGACACTGTGGTCAAAGTGGATGAAACTACAGAAGAAGACGAGGAAGAGGAAGACGAGACTGAAGAAGAGCTCGTGCTCTGGACTGTGGATGTTGCAGCAACACTGGGTGTGCTAGTAGACTTCTTCTCCTCATCCTTTCCTCCCGAAGCACTGCTGCTGCCACCAGGAGAATAGGCAACAACATTTGCCGTCTTCCCCTTGCTGACGGTCACGACACAGAAACTGGAGCCGCCTGCGCCGGAAGCCTTGTTACTCGACTTGACACTTCCACTTCCCGAGGTAGGGTCAATCTCGCATGGAAGGCCATTGCAGCCACCGTCAGGGCATTCAACCCTCAGTCCAAAGTCGGGAATTGAACCCTTCAAACCAGAATCTTCCCAGATGGGGTTCCAACCCAGCTTCACAAATGTCTGGCCACTGGCGTCAGCGTTTGCACCGGCAACGTAGGGACTCCAGTTTCCGATTGGCTTCCCGTCGTCTCCCCAGATGCAACCTTCCGAACCTGTGCCGGGAGGGTTGATATAAAAGCTATTTTCATTGGTTAGCAACTCCACTTGGCAAACAATCTCCCTCGCAACACTTACTGTGCGGCAGTTGAACACCAGTAACTGCTTTTAGGAACAGCAATAACTGCGCTTGAGGAAACGACGGTAGGAATAAGCATAGCCTCGTTGCCAGGAAGAACCGTCTGGCACCACGACATGCTCTTGCCTGCCTTGTTGACGGCATTGATGGACCCAAGACCATCAACACAATTAGGCTTGTCCTTGAAAGGCTTCTCAATCTCTCCATTCTTGTTGCAATAAAGGCCACCGTTCTAAGAAGAAAATGTTAGCAACTATGCGAGAAGTATGCATTCAGGGCGCGTGCTGTACCATAGAGGCAGGGTAGGTGTAAGTAGAATCAGGATCCCACTGTGCCATGACCATGCCCGACTTGCAAGCAAAGGGACAGTATGATCCAGGCTTGCACTCCTGATCAGGGCTCATAGCCCATCCTGCATTCTTCGCGTTGGGAGTGACGGCGACGAGGTTCGGGTCATCGGTGGGAAACTGGCATTGTCCTCCTCGGGTGGCCAATGAGGTCTCCTCCGGCGCGTTATGAGAATGGCGAACCTCGAGATCTGTATCCAAATGGCGGTGCTGGTGTACCCTCTCGTGCGAAAAGGCATCGCAGGTTGAGGAAAAGGCAATGGCGAAGCCCAAAATGGCGCGCGCCGATGATAGTGACAACTTCATTTTCGCGATATAACCCCAACAACCCTTTAAAATCTCCAATAGATATCCGGAATAACGGCAAACTGTGGTGCCAGATGCGTCGCGCGAAGAAAGATCGGCGACAGACTGCAAGCAGCCCTTGGTGTCCAGCAATGACAGCTGGAGTAGTGGTGTGATCGCCCCGAGGCAGCGTCGAGCGAACGTAGGTAGTGGTCAGTGAGCGAGTGACTGGTGACGGCGAGAGACGGACTCGACGATCAAAAACGGATCAAAGAAAGTGAATAGCGAGCGACAGGTTTAAAACGAAGGACAAGTGATCACCAGCAACGAGCGGTAAAAGAGAGTTCAGGGCCTGGCCTGGGGGATACCGCCTAGGTAAATTGGGATGTTGGGTTTAAGCTCGCTAAGAACCAGCATCTCAGGATCAGAGAGGACGACGGACAGCTCGGGCATGGGAGAGAAGCGGGCACCAGACGAGGATCCCCCATTCATCAAAGGCCATCACGCCGTCGACAACAAGCTCGCTGGCCCCATGCAGGTTAATGAGCAGGCAGCCAATCCGAGGACACTCTGGAAATGAGAGCATCACGGTGCAGGGATCCACATCAACCGTTTCGGCACAAACTGCAAGGGGCATCTTCGAGGGCCAGGTGGTTCAGAAGCTTGGTGCATGGAAATTTCTCTCATCGCCAGGGGGGACAGACAAGGGGGAGATGAAGAGCAGCTCTGGCGATGCTCAAACGGGCTAGAGGGTCGGCCCCTCTTCCTTCCCCCCACCGGCGGCAGCTCAATCCAAGCCTAGAAGAGGAAAGAGCCTACGCTTGTTCCTGGAGTAGCACCTGGTTGTGTGGCCACTGCCCAGACTTGAGCGGGACTTGGCCACTGCCCTGCCTGCACGGGCAAATTGCAGCAGCAGGGCTTATGCGCCAGGATGGAGCTAGGAGTCGTCAACACCAAGACCAGTTCATCACATCAGAGACATGAAAAAGAAAAGTTACAGCCACCGACTGACTGACAGGCGTCTAGTGTTACCGAGTGCGACCTCGGCAGACCTAAGAATGCCCTGACACACGCCTCAGAACGGCAGGCAGGCGTAATACCCTAGCTGCAGGAACACTACATGTATCCAAAGCAGCTTACGCAAGCATTGGTAGTCGAGGCCTCCCCCCTCCTCCTCACTATCGTCAACCTTATCCAACAGGTCCAGGCCCTCTGGATCTAGCCAGCGCTAATCAGGCCAGAAAGAAATGAGGATAGATGGGAAGTCTAGCTTCTGGAGAAATGCCCCTCACATGCGCTGAGCTCTCTTCCAAGGTGCCTCCTAAGGTGGCCACCACATTGCGACGGCGCCGTTGAGCTATTCCTGATCTGCTCTTAGCTACCCGAGATCTAGCCTGATCCAGCTAGCTTTGTTTGGGCGCATTTGGTACCTGCATGATATGATTGATGGGCCGTAGATTGGCTCAACAAAGAGCCTGCAGCAGCCAGAAGCAGATAGATGCCATTCAGCCACTGAAATCATTGATGCTTCGCTGTGGCAATTTTTATAATTGCGCCCATCAAATCAGGTCCCATGGCTCGTCAACCATCCCAGCTTCGCGCCTAGCACTACCATTAGCTGATCACGAGATGATCGCCCACCCCTGCCATGTGTCTGTCAGTGTTCTCCTCTATTTGCCATTGACTCAGGCAGCTGGACGAAGGGTGGCGCCGGCGGGTAACGTGAATCAAGACATGTTCGACTCATAAGCCGGGTACTCATCTTACTGCTAACCAATGAGCACAGCCTTCCCTTTTGATTGTTCCATATGCCGGCACACCATAAGACTGTCTGCGTAACCTTGCATGCTGTATATTGAGAAATGATCGGAATTCAATATTGTTTATTGGTCTCTATGGAGCCTACTAATTACATTGTATTTGGGATCTAGTTTTACATGTTATGTTCTCTTCTACATTCGCATTTTACTCTGCTAGAGCCCCTTTTCACGATGTCCCACTACTCTAGCAAATGAGTCAAATGACATAGTCATGGAGTGTCTGCCAGCCGTCTTGCTTCGCAAATGATCATCGTAGTTCAACATCTCCTTATAAGGGACCTTGGCAGTAATCTCCACCACCCGTGTCAATGACTTCTTGCCCCGGAGCGAAGTCACCGATTCGTAGGGGTCTGGTGGCGCGTAAATTTTAGAGACATCTATCAACTCATCGGTTGCTGCCTCGGCGGTTCTGTCGTTTACCTCCAAAACACTACCACCCGCCCCCGCTGTAATATCATGCTGGACGGTACCAGCAACGGCCTCAGGACACGTGATGTGCACAAGCATCAATGGCTCGAGGATAGCGACTTGGTGCTTGTCAAACGCGTCTCGGAGCGCTGCCTGGACTGCAGATCGCGAGGCGCCACTGAAGTGCCCGCCTGAAGGGTTCTCAAGCATCCCTTCGGATGTGTCGAGTGTGACTGAGATCAAACAACCATGAATGGGAGATGCTCGCCGTGGTCCTCGAGCTGTTGCAGCAAGAGCACCATTCAGCAGATGATGTCGTGCTTCCTCCAGGTCGAAGGTAAATTCCTTCGAATTATCTAGCTCGGGCACATCAATCTGGTAGATGTTTCCGTCTTTTTCAATTCCAGACTCAAGCAGGGTACCATGCTCATCAGGTTCTATTGGTTTCAGTGTAACTGTGCAAGCAGCCTTGCCAGATTTGCTTGCAACGGCACGATCAAACACTGTATGATGGGGCCGCGTTTGCTCTGTGAGAGTCTCCTTGTAGTCAACTTCGATAGGACCAAACTCGGCATCAATTTTGTGTTTCTGCCTCATGCTGTGCAGAGAAACATCC